ATTCCTTCTTAGTCCAATGTAAAATGAGATGGGAGTACCACTTTCCAATGACAGTTGAGAATGTGTAACATTCTATGTAATTTAACATAAGCTGGAAGGAGTGTAATCTTGAAAAAATTAGTGAAACACGTAAGTCATAAAGAAGACCAGTTTATACCTTCAGTAGAGTTTCTGTAATATCTGATTAGCAAGGCTAGAGGTGGAAGCATCTGTGTCTGCACACTTACATACAAATATATGCACTTGCAAATGTATTGTCCCTCTGTGTCCACTTTTAAATACCATAATATTTGATTGCGAGTATATATTTCATTCATAACAATAACTAGTCAGTGTTACCTTTAAAGAAATCAACGAGTCAACTTCATTAAGCAGGATATGGAAGTGTAATACATTCCACACAATAAAAGAAGATTAATGAACTGCTGAGGAGCTCCCTTCCATTCTACCCAGAGTATGTGTAGCTGCCGCATCAGGGAACAGCTTCAAATATAGTAAATAGCTCTCAGGCTTTTCAAACAAAGTTATACTCTGCCTTGTATACAGGCCAGGGCCTATACATTGAACAAATCATCAGAAGTGTATTCCAGTTCTTTTAAAGAGAGCACGGTAGTGCTCTCTATTTTTTATTGATTGCATTTGCAGAGGAAAATTGAATCCATTCCTTGTCAAGTCCCCTATACCTCATGTCATAAAGAAGAGGGGAAAAAGGAAAAGATGGATGGAGTTCAGTGGAATTAGCCAGAAAGAATGATGTTTCCTATTGTGTGATGATAAATTTTATTTTTTCATCTTGCCCATATCAAGTGAAAGGTAGCAGTTGAAGTACTTTGAAGTAGTAATCTTCAAAGACTTCTTTTAGCAGAATTGGAAATAAGCTTATTGGAGAGTTGTCTCCAACTAGATTTTCTGCCAATTATCAGCCAAAAGCTCTTTCCTGTACAGAAGTTAACTCGAAAGGCAAGTGTTTCTAGGATATACAGCATCTCAGTAGGTGTGGCTATAACACCTCTAAACACTTTATTTTAGTAAAATGCATTTTTTTTTAATAACAGAAAAATAAATTAAATTCTCACTATATTAATGAAGTCAATATAAATCCATGTCTCTCAAATTAGGGTATTCTGACAGGTGCTATGGTCTGTACTATGAGCTAGTGAAAGTAGAACTGCATTGATTTTTATGTGCAAATTGAGAATCATGGTATTTTAGTAGGAACCATTTGAAGAATAGTTTTGTTGCTGTTTATGAGCCTTTTTGCTTGCTTTTCTGTGATTGGCAAGTTTCAAATCCGTTGCTGTAGGCTTTAAACCAGAATCTAGATGTATTTGTTTGAAATTGCCTATTATCAGAGGTATTGCATTAAAAACAAAGTAAAGGACTTGATTTACAGCTTGCTTTTTGAAGTCCAGGGTGTATTCTTAAGCAGAAATAGAAGAGTAATGTAAGTTGTAGAAAAACACTTAGAGAAAAAAATGATTAAAGCTAAAATTCCCAGCACCCTTTTCCTTATTTACTGATTACTGGATTGGTTAACACAAATGTGGGTGCATTCTATACAAGTATACTTGTATATAGAATCAAACCAACCAAACAAACAAAAAACCCTGAATGAAGGGAGGAAGTTTGAATTACAAATAGTAAACTGCTCCAGGAGTAATTGTTTTAATGATTGTACAATCGGCTATTTACGTATCAGTCCTACCAAATAAACTCTGTGTGTCTGTTCCAAGCACAAATTCTTGTCATCATCATGAGAAAGTGAATTAAGAAGAAAGTGATATATGTTGAAGTTACATGTGTGCTGTTAAAATTTATTTCTGAAATGAGACCTGGGTACTTAACTATGAATTACCTGGGTACTTAACTATGAATTTCTGTTGTGCAGGAAGATATGTTTTTCACTACCTGAGAACAGTTATGTTACGTGCCGTTAGTAGCCTTTTCCAAGATTTATTTCATTTTACTTCTGTTTGGATGCTCTGTTCTTGTTGCTTATCTTGAACACCACTTTTTTTTTTTTTTTTAATTCCAACTTCATATGTTGGTTTTCTTTTTCCCTGCTGCAAGTTCTTGGATTTTTTTCGGCTGTTGTGTTTGTCTCTGGGAGAAAGTTGTAGAGGAAGAGGAGGAAGGGGAAAGTGGGACGTAAATAAGATTGTAAAACTCTTGACACTGACTATAAAGCATCACTTCTCCACAAATATTACAAATAAGATCTAGTAAGGTATATTTCTTGCTTTATAGCCTAATCTCAACAAGTCTAATAAAATGTTGAAATTATTAGTTCCAATATATCCATTCAGTACTTCAGAACTTAGTTATTTTACTCTTTGTAGATTGTCTCCTTAGTTTCTCCTTTTTGTATGTGCATGTATTTTTAATAAATATATATATATATGAATGTGTATGTGCAGGTGTGTGTGTATAAACATATAGGTTCAAATACATATATATAACTCTTTGCAATACATTTTTTGATGATACAGACACTCTTTGCAACAGTATCTGTAAATGTAGTAATATGTTTAATGTGTCTTTACTGAATATAATTTGTTTGTTAGTAAGCTTACTGTCTGAAGGAAATTTTCTCTTTAGAAATAATGTACCACATTTCATATGTGAAGAGGTTTTTTTTTTTTCATGGGGTGCATAGCCACCAATTTAGAAAAGCAGTTATGAGCATGATTAACTGAAAAATATTTTTTTTCTGATAAATCGCTTTGCTGAATAGGGATGTCAGTGGTCTGACCAGGGTGGTAAAGTCACTGACAGCTTTGGGGGTAGAGGCTGCAGCAATTTTAAGTCAGGTCACAAGGCCAAAGAAATGCATGGTTATGGGTCTTGGGAATTCATAGAGAACCCTGAAAACTAAATGCTTTGTCAGCTGGCAAAGAGGTAAGAACTATGGTCCCCCATGTGCCTTAAGTAAGTGTCCTAAGCTCCAGTGCCCTAAATGCCACCAGAAACCATTGGCATAGGCTGCCACTGGGACAAGTACTCTGTACATCAGATGAGGAAATGGTAACATGAAAAAATAAAAATTCAGGCACGAAAGGAAATTCTTGTCTGAGTAAGTAAAGGACAGAGCTTCTAATGACTTCATGGAGCCACTTCTGGAAGTAAGATCTGAAACAAAGTCAAGTTTAGAAAGTCTGTACATAATGCTTAATTACACAGTAGATCAAACTGGATCTAAAGGAAATAATTGAACAGTAACCATTTTAAAATAATAATATAATTCTCATGGTGCCTCAGGGAAATATTTCTCTTTCTTAAGTAAACATATATATATTTATAACTATCTACTTGACAAAGAGACAGGTATATAGTACAAGCTTATTGCTTACAGGGAATGTCAAGAGTTGGGAATTTAATTTGGTATTTCTATAAAAAGCTATATCTTGAGAGAGTGATATTATCTTAAAACTACTTTGAAAAAAACAGATAAACCTTTCTGCAAAACACATGGTGTAACAATTTTCTCCTTAACCTTTAAAAACAAGCCTATAAAATTTAATGTTGTGATCTCATTTCTCTAGTACCTGTTAACAACCTCACTTTGGAAATGGGCTGTCAAATGTTAACTTTCAACCTGTCCTTATTTTTATTGTTTCTTTTTTTCACAGTAGCAGAGGGCTAGAATGTAGACCCACATACCAAATTTTGTGCTGTGATGCCACTCATGTGCCTTAAAGAACTGTTTTTATTTCAGCTTAACTTGCTCATTTGCAAGAGAAGTTGAATTTTCCTTCCTGTGTGCAATACCATAGTGTAAGCAGGATCTCTATTACAGTGTTGACTTTTGTAGGATTTATACCTACATCTTCAACTGTTTTCAAATGTTTTTTTTTTTTCCCTCTAGTTCCCTTTCCACTCTTGGCTTGCTAATCTAGGTGTTTCAGTTTTAGAAACATTACTTACAATGCCATTAGGCAACACAAAAGAAAGAATTCGTGACCAAACCAACAAAAAGCCCTTGCTCTTTCTAATTAACTGAATACCTGCTGTTGCCTAACACGATTAAGATTTTAGGGGGGAAATTAATGCGATATTTACAGCTGATTAAATGAGGTGAAAAGCATAATTTATCATAAGTTATATCATGAGGTATTCTGTATCACAATAAAATTTCATTGACTACTGACTATAGTCAATTGACTATTATTGTAACAGTGTTCATCAATTTTCAAGTGTCTCCCAACATATCTTTTTTTGAAAAAGGCACAGAATATGTTAATATATTATATATTTGATTGATTATATAATATATTTGATTGATTAAAACAAGCATTGGTACAGAACAACTTTGCAAATATAAGTTTCTGTATAACTGGCCACATAGTATTTAGCTGAAATGTGTATTTCCTTGTATTTTAAGTTCATTGTGCCACTGACTCCAACTCACAAATATTAACGTTCATACTGCTGATCTTTCTGTAAGTGATCACATCTACGAACATTAAGATCTTGTTAGCGTGCGATAATGAGTACTACTGTGCATGTGGTCCTACCTTAATGTTACAATTCAAATAACTCATTGTTGTCTTTTTCTCATATAATCTCCTTACAGCATCCATTTGGAAAGGGAAATTTTTGTTATCTTTCTAAGAGACTCACCTACTTGTGTTGATGTTATTCTAGTCTTTCTAGTGTGCTGTGGTTAGTAGAAACATCAACTTTATAGGCTTGCATTTACTTTTCTATAGCTGGGAAGTGCAACTAGAGTGACATCTCAGAAACAAAGTATTTGTAGGAGAAAATGACTATGCAAATAAGCTGGTAGTCATTGCATACAAATAATACAATGGGAAGAAGAAAGCATGAGGAACTTAAAGAAAATTCCCAAGGAAGAGGAGTGTGTTTCTTTAAATTTACTTTGTTGATTAGTTAAATGAAATGTTACTACTTTCTGCAATAGTTCAGTTTGCTTTTTGTAGTCATTGCTGCTGGTGTTAGGATGTAACTTTGTAATACCAAATATGTTTTGTCTTTGGCAGCAACGATAGTGTTAAATGAACTCAATTGGACTGCAGCGTTGGATGATGTATTCAAGCGGAACAGAGAAGAAGACCCCACTTTATTATGGCAGGTTTTTGGTAGTGCAACTGGCCTCGCTAGGTATTACCCAGGTAACTGCATTCTCCTAAAGAACTGTCCTGTGCCACATATTGCCTTAAAAATATTCTGAATTATTTACAAGCAATAAAAGATAACTAAAGATTACTTTCTTACATAGATGGGGTTTCTGTATATCAGAAGTAACTCAAAAGACTGTGAAATTATTCTGGCATAAAGCTAGTATAAGGGGGAAGAATCTGGGGGTGAAATATGTAACTATTATTTGTTACAGTCAGAGGAGCAGAAGATGATGTCCTTTGAAAAGCTGAACAGTTAAATTTTATTTTTGTATTGTTTTCTATGTGTTGTATAAAGAATCATTGAATATTTGCCAGTGAGATTTTTGTACCTGTCTAGTTTTAAAAATAGTTACTCGGTGACTAGACAGATAATCTTACGGTTAAAGTCAGTAAAAATATGATTGCACCATGCCATGTTTATGTCCTGCAGAATCCACGATCTGACAATTATGTCTTTGCTATTAGAGCTAAGGTCAATGAATACAACTTGATTACTTCAACCAGCATCTGTTCCACCTGTCGAAGAATCCCATTACTGGACCACAGTAATTAATTTAAATAGATATATATTTTAATGAATTTAGATCATCAGTAGCCTTAATTTGATTTTTGATGTATACTACCTAATGGAAAGGGTTGTTTTATGGCAAGGCATACTGCCTGCGCTGCTGCTGTTCTTGTTAAGTGATGCTGTTATCAATGACAGAACGATGTGTCCACTACACACAAGACAATGGCGTGCAGTGTCTTGTCTCTTGCCTACAGCTGGTTAAGGAAGAACTTTGAGATCCTTTCTCTTCTGTTTATACAAGATTGTTGGTGTTTCTGAGGGTGAAGGGGATTATTCTAAAGCAGTTACTGTATCATTAGCACAATTGCTAGCACAGGCAGAGAAAATGCCTTAGGCTAGTTTACAGGAAGAAATGATTCATAGTACTTGAATCCTGTTTGTTTTGTCATGCTAGGTGCTGATGAAATAAATACAGTGAGATGTTGCAGAAAAAATAATATTGAAAATGCTAATTTCATATTTCTTTTCTTTCAAAGTGTTCTGTTTCAAGGCTTTTGGGATCTATTAGTACTGTGTTTGGGGTCACCATTTGTCACCACTTACTATATAGTGATGTTTTCCAAGTGCTGAAAAAGAAGTGTTTATTAAACATATCTCTGTGGCAATCTCTAAGGAATTCATTTTCAAGTGTAAGATTATCTTATATATTGAAAAATATATTCTTATGTCTAGCTAACCTGTCTACTCCAGTTGTTTACCAGGACAACATAGGTGCCTCAGAATCTCTATGTATTCTTCCTTAGAACACTTCTATGAAATGGGAGAAGCTTGTTTTCCCTATTTTTCAGGTGGATATATTGCTTGTATATACTCCATCTCAACAGAAATTTATATTTATATATATTTTATACATATTTTTGGGACCCCACCTGGAGTACTATGTCCAGCTCTGGAGCCCTCAGCACAGGAAAGACATGGACCTGTTGGAGCGGGTCCAGAAGAGGATCACGAAAATGATCAGGGGGCTGGAACACCTCTCTTATGAAGAAAGGCTGAGAGAGTTGGGGTTGTTCAGCCTGGAGAAGAGAAGGCTCTGGGGAGACCTTATTGTAGCCTTTCAGTACTTAAAGGGGACTTAAAAAGATGGCGGCAAACTTTTTAGCAGGGCCTGTTGTGACAGGACAAGGGTTTTAGACTAAAAGAGGGTAGATTTAGACTAGATCTAAGGAAGAAATTTTCTACAATGAGAGTGGTGAAGCACTGGCACAGGTTGCCCAGAGAGGTGGTGGCTGCCCCATCCCTGGAAACATTCCAGGTCAGGTTGGAGGGGGCTCTGAGCAACCTGATCTAGTTGAAGATGTCCCTGCTCATTGCATCAGACTAGATGACCTTTAGAGGTCCATTCCAACCCACACTATTCTATGATTCTGTGATTTAGTATAAAACTCAGATCCTCACACTTCCCATTTATTCCATAGCTAAGTGCTTAAGTCCTTATTAACTGTCTAGTGCTGTCAGAACTTGACTTCAAAAATTCCTGGGTAATTCCCCCATTCTTAGATTTTACATACACGCAGAGTAACCTGGAGCAGTCTGACAGTCCTTAAGTTGTATATGCATTGTTCTGAGCATCTTCTCCTTCCCACTTCCTTCCATTTATAGCTTAAATCAGTATAGTCCTTTGGTTTTAGATTTTTGGAATAGGTCTTTCTGCAAGTTTGTCCATCTTTTCTCTTTTTGTAAACTCTTTGTCTCAGTTTGCAGAGACCTATCTGACACACACAAGTGTTCTGAAAATGAAATCAAGTTTCATATACCATAATGGATGCTTTCCACATTTGCTTTTTGAAAATGATATTATAAATTGTAAAATGTTCGTTCATTATATTGGCCTATATTACTTCAAAGTGATTGATTTCCCCATAGTGACAACATTTGTGAAAGAATTTGGAAATATCAAAAACTGAAATTAAAATGCATAGATAAGTCTGCTCGTTATTAGCTGAAATACATCCACTCAGTCTTTCCTCCCTTAAAAAGAATCGATCTTTGGTACCTCTAAGCTATAGAGGGTGTCTTCAGTCATAGGTTTCTTGAACCAATGTTTTTATCTGACAGTATCCCACTGCCTCGAGTAATGGGCTAGACAGTACATCACTTCTATCCTAAGTAGGCTCTTAGGTGGTCCTTGTCACCATAGTAACCAGCAGCATGAAGGGATCTTTCTATGAGCAACCCCATGGGTGGAAAGTAAGTCTGAAATATAAGATTATTTTTCTATTACATATATCCCCTTGTTTCCTACATATATTCTATTTTTGGTACTGTTGTACACTCCTCTAGCATCACATATATGATTTCATATAATTTTCAGCTGTGCTTTGTCTGTCTCTTTGGTACATCTGTGTTCCCTTGTCTCTATCAAGAGGACAAGGCAGCTTCCTTCTGACTATGACCTAGGTTGAGACACATGGCATTTAGACCATTTCCTTTCCTCAGACCTTCTTTATACACTATAATGAACGGTATTAGGCTTAGATACAGTAGTAATTAGATGCAGTAGAATAAGAATAAGAAACTGTATTTTATGAAAATAGCTAACAGCATCAGGTAGAAGAAGTAATGGTACCAAAGTATTCGCTTCCTTTAATGTTATGATGTAATTAGTCCATCAAAAGTTCCTTATGCAAAAAGTCATTTTTACTGAGGAGAAAACCACATTCTATGTGGTGTTACCTTTGGTTTTGTTTTAAAGAAGAAAACATGTAATCCAGGCAAGCCAGATTTAGGAAGATAGTTGTGTATATGGATAGATACAGATGTGCAAGAAAGCTAAGTATTAGAAATATATACATAAACACATATATGTTTATATTTGCAGTGATAGGAGAACTAGTGCCAGACATAAAAGGGAACTGTAGAGCCACTTCCTATGTTTACCTTAAAAGATGCCCCAATAGAAATGTTAGAGACTGCATTGAGGTAAATTTCTCTCTTTATAGATTAGTACATTGCTTGCTTCATTTTGTTTATGAACTATTTTTCCCTAGAAAATACTCAGTTCAGCTCTCATTCTCAAACATCAAGACAGAAATGGCAGAGAAGAGCCAAAGATGAAGGATACCTCCATAGGTCTCAAACCTATTTTTTCACTTCTTTCAGTTAAGGTTTTTAATCAGCTTGATTTAAAGAGTCAGTATGAGTCTCCTCATACTGAACTTTTTCTTCTTTAAATTATTTAAGAAAGTGTGTCTTGCCTAAAATAATTTTAAAGATCAGTGAGGATACTTAGTATCAACATTTTCATTAGTTTCAATGGCAGCATAATTGTGAAGAGAAATGCTATGCTCTATTACTGTGCTGGCAACCATCCATTTCGATATGAAGATGCCAGGACCAATTTTGAGATTTCTATTAGCTATTCTATGAGCTCTGAACAACACAAGAGTAACTAAACAGTAGTTTAATAAAAGAACTCAGAAGAACAAACAAATAAAGTGAATGGAACTTTTAGGAAGGATGTAGTATATACTCATTCTTACATTTAAAGTTACATATCACAAATTAGTCTTTCTTTCAAGAGATGGTTTCAGCATTGTAAAAATGCATTGTCCTTTTTACATACATTTATGGAGTTGTATCAGAATCTAGACGGGAATCTCTGTCTTCAGGTGATGAAGATACCTGATAAAATTCTTAATTTAATAGGGAAGTGTACAAGAGGTGGAAGCAAGGACAGGTGAACTGGGAGGAATATAGAGACACTGTCCAAGCCTGTAGAAACACAGTTAGAAAAGCAAAAACCCACTTGGAGTTGAATCTGGTGAGGAATATGAAGGACAACAAGAAGACCTTCTTACAGGAACACCAGCAGCAAAAGAAAGACTAAGGAAAATATGGACGTGCTGCAGAATCTGGGCCTGCTGCTTCCTGCTGGGACAGAGGGCTTGTTGACAAAAGGCATGGAAAAGGCCAAGGTACTCATTACCTTCTTTACCTCAGTGCTTACTCATAAGACCAGCCCTCAGTAATGGCAGGCCTCTGCAATCAGAGGGAAATTCTGGAGCAAGGATGATTTGCCCTCAGTGGAGGAGGATCAGGTTAAGGAACATTTAAACAAACTGGACATGCACAAGTCCTTGTGACCTGATGGGGTGCCCCCATGAGTATTGAGGAGATTGGTGGATGTCATTGCAAGGCCATCCTTGATTACCATTGAAAGGTCATGGAAACCAGGAAAGGTTCCTGAGGTTCCTTCTTTCCTGAGGAAACAAGTGTCACTTCTATCTTCAAGAATGGCCAGAAGGAGGATCTGGGGAACTACAAGGTGTCAGACTCACCTTAGTCCCTGGAAAAGTGATGGAGGAAGTCCTCCTGGAAACTATTTTGAAGCATAGTAAGGACAAGAAGGTGATTGGGAGTGGTCAGCATGGGTGAAAGGAGAAATCATGCCTGATCAACCTGATAACTGTCTATGATG